TGCGGAATTTACATTGATTATCACTTTATAAGGTATAAGGGGTTCAAAAACTCATAAAATTCTGAAATAACTGGGAAGTCAATCATTACTGTAACACTAGCACGTACATGGGAGCTGCTTTGGAATGATAACATTTTGTGACAGAGGCTGTTCCCATCTTCATGAGATGTGCTAACAGTATTCTGGATAACTGCACACTGTAGGTTCCAGTGATCTCACTGCTTTATTTGACTTCACGGCTCCCCTTAATATAGCTGTTGGTGAATCTAACACGCCTACCAGCGCTTCACTTTAGCATCTTATGGTCGTCAACATGTCAACCCTGACAGTCTGTGAAGTCACGTTTCGAATATAAAGTACGCGGCTACTGTCACCGGCTACAGTTGCTGCTAAAGCGTCCCAGTTTAAATGAATCGCTGTTAAAACCGCAGTATTTTTGATAACATTAAGCTCCCTGGTCATAGGCACTATGATATCAACACTAGTGCGGGTTCTCAGATGAAAGTGGGTTGCTACGTTGAGATGATTTTCGTCTGTGGAGGGAGAAAATATCGGGCTGCCCGACTGAAGAAGTTGTTCGAGAGAGTCATGGAACTCTGTGTTTTTACAGTTACCACTCAAAGACCGTTCACCTATTGGACGAACTTCAGCTACTGAACACTCCTACAGTGACGGAGAGCATCCAGCGTTCAGCGACGAACGCTGTAAGTTATTATTATTTACGTATTACTTACTGCTACCATATTCGGGCTCACTAACTCTAAGTGCAAACAGTTAGAACTCCAGCTAACTCGTAAATGCTGGTAACAAAAGGCAGATCAAAAAGCCATAAACTTTCTTCGAGATCTTTGAGTGACCCAAAGCCGTTTGCTTTAAAGTGCAGTAGAAGCACTTTAGATGCTGTCGTTGTACTCCATTACGATATTGTTTTGAGTTTTGACGAAGGCACAAGGTTTGCTAGAGCCTCCTCTTTAGACTACACTACTGCTTTTGACTATTCTTTGGCCACTTTCACCCATGAAAGCTGATTTCAGTACGCACTGAGTCCTGGATTACGTGGTGGCTGTCTCCTTATTTTTCGGGTAGAAAACAGCATATTGGTTTAAATGAAAAGCGCTCCAATTCTTCGCTAGTGGAAACTGGTGTGCCTCAGTGCACTGTACTCTCCCCAATTCTTTCTTCTTTCTTTCTGCGCGGCCTTCCGCATTCTCTCAAAGCTAATTTCATCAAGTGTGCTAATGATCTAACCATTTCTGTCCCGGTAGTCTCTACACTGGATCGTTTTTATATGAATAAATTCTCATCTGAAATTAACAAATGTTCTTATACCGAATCCACTAAATGTCATATTATTGGCTTTAGTATCAGATGTGAACAAGAATTGAGTGGACTGATTCGGTCATGTGGTTCCTGGCAGCACTGTGATAAGGGGTAGATCGAATGTTTCTTATCTCAGCATCAACTTCTTTTCGCATCTCTGTTGGTCATCACACATCCTGCTGATATCTGAGAGAATTTTCCATTCGACTCATAACATAAGGAAGCTGAGACTTTCTGACATAACCCAGCCTCTTCTCTCACGACTAATTACTTCATGTATTCTACACATTCTTTTTTATTGTTCGCCATTATTCTTCCATAGACTTCTCAAACAAGACTACAGCATACTACATACAACACTGAAGGCTGCAAGTAGGGTTGATGGCATGCATTTGACTCAACCAACTGACAATATCGTCAGTGAGCACTTCAATTCATGCAAACAGCTGGCTAAAGTGGTCTTGTCTGATACCAAAAAACCCCTTTATTCTCCACTTCCTCCTGCACATCTCCTGGTAAAGCCAGGAGAAACTTCATGAGACTTTATGTTCCTACAGCAAATATAAGAATTCTGCCATACCATATTTAGCACAGATTTTGTGTGAGGGGGCGAACGTTGGAATAGAACTTGCAGACTTTTCGAATCAGTAACTGAGCAGCAAAGTATATGTAAGGGCCATTATTAATGTGTTGTTTGTTGCGTGATCTATTGGTAATTCATCATGTTCTGCGAGCTTTCATAATTTTTCAATTTTAAGTACTTATATATTTGCAAAAGGAGGCAGATTGTTGCAATGTGTGTAGAATATTCCACACTGTATGGTTATTGTTGCTTGGCATAAAGTGATTGTTATCGTTATTTATTACATTGGTAACGTGCTCTGAATTCGAAAACATCCGAGGCATCCATAGGTTGCCCAGATGTTTATTTAATCAATAAGAAGTTGAGTCAGTTCGATCCATTATCCTCAGCCTCAGGTTTTATTTTGGGGGGCGTGGGTGGAAAGCGCAATATACATTGTTTATACGAACCCATTTCGTTCAAAACACTACATTCGCGCCTTTGTTATAAGTGGCCTTGATGGCTTGGTTTTCCTGGTGCTCACTATAGTTTTACGAGTTGATCACGGACTGATATCAGCTAGAGAACCATCGAAAACCAGGGAGTACTGGACAGCTCACGTGGGTGACTCCAAACTATAACAGCCCAAAACGAAACTACCTGATAGAGACCTTGACAGATCGCAATAGACCAATCGGACGTGTCCGAAGCAGATGTGCGTAATTTGAAAAAGACGTCTATCCGTAAGTGAAGCAGCGTTGAAAAGGAGTTTACTTTATTTATTTTTATTTTTGATTTACAGCTTGATTCCACACCGTATTGCACAGAATAACAGCATTACAGTGAGCTTGGTTAAGTAATTTAGACTACGAATTCGTTTTGTGCTGCTATAATTTAGAGTCACCTTCATATTCATTGGTGAAGGCCAACCTACATTTTCGGCTCGGTAAAGAATACCGCAGTGTAGGAACTTATGGGACCTGTTTGCTGTGACTGGGAGGGATGGGTTTCGGGTAGAATACCGCAAAGTTCGAAACCTTTGCAAGTATGAGATTGATAAAAGTCGTATAGAGTATGAGAGACAGTAGTGGATTGTGTGCATTATCCAAAAAGACTTCTCGAATATCAAACGCAGGACTAAAACTAGTAGTGGCATACCGTCCCTCATTAGCAACACAGGAGAGGCTGCAGAATCAGACGGAACAAAAGCTGAGGAGCTCTCCGAATATTTCTGTGATGTTTTCTCGCCTAATCGTACCACCCAGGGGTGTAGCAAGGTAACTGATGTAGCCCCTAAAATGACCCCATTTGTGGTAGGTGATGCAATGGTTCTGAAACTACTGTCTAAATTGAAGCCAGGTAAATCACCTGAACCAGACGGACTTCACCCTAGATTGCTAATCTCCCTGGCGGATACAATATACATTCCACTTACGGAGATTTTTCAGATGTCTCTGACCCAGGCTAGGCTACCCAGAGAATGGAAAGATGCTTTTATAAGCCCCATCTTCAAAGATGGTAACAGGCAGTTAGTATCTAACTACCGGCCTGTAAGTCTGACCTGCATTATAGCAAAGGTGTTAGAAAAACTCATAAGAGACCAGCTCTTATCTCATACGGAAAAACATGGCTTACTGGCAGTGGAACAGCATGGATTCCGACCAGGACGATCCCGCTTGACAAACTTACTGTTAGCTAGGAAAGATTGGGTCGAGGCCAGGGATAAAAACCATCTACTGGACGTTGTATTTAGGGATCTTAGTAAAGCATTCGATAAGGTATCCCACTTAGGTTTTCTTAGTAAACTTAAACATTTTGGATTAGACCAACGCTTATGCGGTTGGTTTAGTGACTACCTGATGGATAGGAAGCAGAAGGTAAGGGTTAGTGGTGTACTGTCAGGGTGGAAAGCAGTACTAAGTGGAGTACCTCAGGGAACTATATTTGGCCCCATGCTATTCTTATTATACGTAAATGAAGTGCCAAAAATTCTTACCTCATCTTCCTTACTATTTGCGGACGATATTAAGATATGGAAAACCGTAAATAGTAGCGATGATAGGTTGGTACTACAAAACGATCTAGACAAATTACCCGAATGGGCTATCCTTTGGAGTCTGGAAATTAATTCCAAGAAAAGCGCGCTAATGCACTTAGGTCAGAAGTCTTACACGTCGTACTCCATGCGGGACACAGAACTGTCAGATGTTAGGGAACAAAAGGACTTTGGAATTATTGTTAGCCACGACTTAAAAACAACGGTAAACTGTAATCGAGCCGCAACTAAGGCTTTTCGAATGCTATGGGCACTTCGAAGGGCTTTCAAACGATTCTGTCTGTCTGTTTTCGACATAGAACTTTGCACATATGTGCGGCAGTTCAAGTCGCCACAATCCATGTAGCACGCAAAGCAAGAGAAGGAAGTAGAAGAAATGCAAAATATAGACAGTAAACAGAGGTGTGAGACAAAGGAATAGTAATAACGGAGAACAAAACAGTTTAACTGTTTCAAACGATTAGACGAGGGTATGTTCCAAGTACTCTATGCAACATATGTCAGGCCTCATCTAGAGTACTGCATACAAGCGGCGAGTCCATGCTTCAAAAAGGAGGCACATACCCTGAAAAGAGTACAGAGGGTAGGAACCAAATTAGTTAGTGGTATCTCACACCTTGCTTATGATAAGAGGATGGAGCATTTAAATCTCTTCCCATTATCATACTGAAGGAGGAGAGGCGACTTAATTTTGGCTTACCGTATATTCAAGGGTGATTTAGGGATTGACCTTCCAAACCTTTTCTCTCCCTCTAGGATACATTTATGGGGTCACCAGAAGAAGGTGCTCAAACCGAGGTCGAATAAAATACTTTTGGAGTTTAGATTCTCTCACAGAGTGGTCAACGACTGGAATTCCTTACCTGATTCAGTAGTAACAGCTCCATCGGTGAACGCTTTCAAAGAGAAACTGGATCTCCGCAGAGATATATAGCGCGAGGACTAACATAGGCAACAAGAGCCTTCTATCCTTGTAATCTGAATCTAAATCTGAATCAGTCGTTATTTAGAAAAAGGGAGAGTGGCTGGTGTGTAAAGTTTTGGGTTGATTTTTGCGTCAGCCAGCCATTCGTTACGAAAGCATTGTAAGAACTGCATTTTGTAGGTGAAACATATCCCTCCATTTCGGTCGCTATACATCCAGCGCTTATTTAACACGAAACCATCCACTCGTATCATATACATATGGGCTATGCATTCCTCCGCCGTTATCCTATCCAGTCAGAGAATGTACATGGATAATGTTGGCTAAACGGGTAATTTTGATCGGCAAAGACGAGCAAAAGGTTGTTTAAATGCTACACAGTTAACCCACTTTACACATATTGGCCACTTTAACCCTCATTGTACATGTCCCGAAAAATTTTATTGTTCCGCTTTCTCCCACTTTACCCATTTTACAACCGAAAACCGCCGACGTTTTCCCACTTTTCCCAATTTCGAACGGAAAACTACCCACGTTCTTACCCACATATCCCAGGTCCAAAAAAATTCACTGACTGGGTAGTAGTTGATAGTAATGGTGATATTTAAATTATGCTGGTAGTTGTTAGTACCTATCTATTTCTACCGTTTTAGACACAGATACACACGAGTAGTGTTGAGCAGACTGGCGGAATGACTCAGTCTAACGGTGTCCCGTCACCATCTAAAAGAGAAAGATATGCGGCTAGCAACACTCATCGTCATCATACGTTATTAAGTATGACTCAGAAAACGTCGAGCGAGCTTTTCAAAGAAGTCCTATCACCAAAGATTCTACTTGGAAAACTCCCGAATGTCGTAGAAAATGCTCCTGAACCGAATTCTCCCTATAAACCAACGTGTAGTATTCGTGAAGAGTATGGTCGACCTATTTACGGTGTTGCCTTTAATTCGGACAATCGGAGTCAACCATCTGATCCGCTTTATTTCGCTACAGTTTCTGGTCACTATGTAAGTCCTATTTACCCATGGGTGCTTATCGAATCTATGACTTTGTTTGTCTTCGCTACCACTTACTGCAGTAATTTTCCATTTGTTGATTTTATAGGTTACAGTGTACCAGTGTCACTTGAAGGACGACGTTGAAGATGCTTCAATTGAGGATTCTTCGAGACTGGAGCCTGTCAGTACATTGTTGACTTTCGCTGATCCAGCTGGTGATGAGGAAGAGTTTTATTGCTGTGCTTGGTCACGTGATACAAGTGAGAGGTCTGTGTTTAACTCGTGGGGAGGTTGCAGTGAGAGTCATCGACCTCGCCCGACTCCTCATCAAGGTGTAAATGATTTTTATAGTGGGTCAATTATCCCTCCGCACCAGCAGATTATCGCTGTGGCTGGGAAACGTGGCGTTATCCGGATTCTTTGCCCCAGCATGCTAAGTTGTCTTGGTAGTCTCGTTGGCCATGGAGGCTCTATCAACGAGCTGAAATTTCATCCGAAAGATCTCTCCCTATTGTTTTCCTTCAGTAAAGGTAAGCGGAGTGTTTGTTGTATTTTGGAATTGTGTTTTACTTGCATTTGGTTTCGTAATCCCTGAGTGGTTTATTTTCCAAGTTGTACTTGTCTTCGATCGGTAGCAAGGACTAAATCGCTAATAATGTAAATTAAGTTACTACATATTGTTTAACAGTAGTGATACATAAGTAGGAGCCCTCACACTTGTTGAGTGGATGTATAATGAAAGAGTTTGAGACTGATTGGCCGTATTGCTCTCGTGAATTTAAGTGTAATGTGTCCCCACTATTTCGTATCACCCTGCATTTATACTACGTGTATTGTTGTCATTTCTATCCTACTTAACCAAACTGATGGCAGTACATATCCATTTGATGGCTAGTGGTGGACGGGTGAGACGTTGATTGTCCACTACGTACACTTCCTTCATGAGAGTTTGTTGTTCTAGTCCATAAATGACTGGTAGGAGTTTAATGTGTATTGACTGTAAAAGCTTATCAGGCCATTGTGGCTGTGCTGGATGTATTCTGCAGTTGCTTGCTATATTCTCATCTGCTTCATGCTTTTACAATGTATGGAAGGTGTGCAGTATGTCTCAGTCTTGGGGGGAGACTAATCGAGTACAATGCTGCAAATTGATCTATGATGATATGGGTACACAAGGTAATCGCGTTTGTTAATAGGTCATGACATCTATGGATTTGGCTTAGATCAGAGGAGAATATGAAGGACTGTGATTTCCTGAAAGGATGAGGTTAGGATACACTGTACTGTCTCCTCCGTTAAGAGTGCTTACCTTCAGTTATCGCACTATTTATTTGTTGATAACGTTTGCGATTATCTTAGCGTCTGGCATTTGATCGTTAGAAAAACCAAAAAGGCGGTTGCAGCAAAGCAAGATTTCTTTTCCGACGAAGTCATTTACCAGACTACACATTCGTAAATAGTTTAGTTATTTGCAACTCACTTGACGGTGATGGTGGGGTGGGTGGGAGGAGAGCTATGAACCACACGCATTGCGTAGGGTTGGAGTATACGGAAAGGGATTCGAACCCAAGATTCATTGACTGGAAGCCAAATGTTTGGGTCAATAAGTCACGACTTTGTGAATATATGTAGTGGAGGTGCGAAATATCCAGGAATATTAGCAACTAGAGGTCAAGACATAGCGAATACCAAGATGAAGTTATGTAATGCAAATGGGGACCAAACCAAAGGGATAAACAGAAATTTCGGATAGTGAACAGTTGGTAAAACAGTTTTGTTGGAAAATGCACTGGTTATGATGGCGACGTGAAAGACAAAGTGAAATGTACTTCTTTTGGTTAAACAGATTTGGCTTGAATATTCGTATCGCTAATGCTTCAACTGTGTCCAGTCCAGATGTCTTACAATGTTTGATTGAATTTTGCATGAGGCTTCGGAGGATTTTTCGAATTGAGCTGAATATCGTCAGTTCGGGAGATGTCCTGTTATCGAACTACAGACACGTCCAGCATGTCTATGAGAGATGCATTGACGATACTTCCAGTATTGGTGATGCGAATCAAAATCTCGAGAACCTGCTCAAAACCTTCAGTAATGCCCACACAGTCATCAGATTCACTGCAAAAGCAGAATCAGACTCAGTGTTCCATTTCCACGATGTTTTACTCTTAAGAAGGGATTCTAGCTGACTGAGAGATCGATTTTCTAACAGTCTACATAAAATGAGAAGTTTATTAGATTTCAGCTTTTGTTCGTGTAAGCATCCTTATAGCTCTGGACAGTCAGCTTTACACATACTTTCCCTTTTGCCAACGGGACTGGGTAGTTTCGCGGGTAGAAATATATTCATAAGCAGACAGCACGTGGTATTTCGATCTGTGATGATTGAGTTTAAAAGTTGCACCACTGATCCTCTGACAACAGATTAGTGGCGAGTTGACACATGAGCTGGAAAAGTCTGATGTATAGCTGAGAAAGACATTCATCCTAGACTTCTCAATTGAAGCACTACCATTTGTACATACTGTTGTAGATTATCCCCAGTCCAACATGTCACATCTTCCGACGACCATAAATATTAGTCAGTGTCTGAAGTCACTTTGTGGACTATTGGGAAAGATTTAGGCACACTGAATCCTATGGCGTGTCTATTTCTGTGCACGGGACTTGCTTATGCATTTGCATGCTTCGTGAATAGTGAATTCGGTGACAAAACTGGTTGTCAAGTTTGTTCCCTTACCTATGAGGGATATTCTGAGTTTGTGTGTGCGTGTCTGGACTGGGATAGAACAAGCAATTCACACTGAACCACTCATGTGAAGATTTTTCTAAAATAAGAGCGGTTGATCTAGGTCCAAGAAGTTGTAAACTGGCAACACAAGATATCGAGAGAAATTGATTTGCACGAAACCTTTCAGTGAAGTGAACATTTTTGAGACCTTTTGGTTTCTCTGCACTGCTGAAATTGATAAATTTGTGGACATAAATAAAACTGTCTCCAAAACATTCGCTGGATGGGGTGTACACACAATCTTTATTCGAAGTGAAATAAACACCACACCGACCCGCATATTCAGTGATTGTTAGTCAAAGCTCTTACACGATAATGAGTGTAAGGGTGTCATTGTTTTGTAATTTAAAAGAAACGAAGCAGAATCGATCACAATAGTTTGTGCACATCACTGTCCCGTTCTTCTGTAAATCCTGGAGGTGAAGTGATGCGAGTTCTTGTAACTATTTCTTTCTATTCCTTGACTGTTGTCACAATTGCTGATATTATTTGTGTTTTCTTTGGCATCCTACTAATTTCATTTCTTCCACTTCTGATAAGATGGCATAGAACAACTTGCTCTAACATGCATTTATGCCAGTTCTTACATTGTCCTTCTCCCTCTTTGTCTTTTATTTTCATAGTGCTTCTGGAAGAACCAATTTGTACGTATGTTTCAGTATTGTTTAGACTTTCACAGGCTTCCCTCGTACAGTATAACAAATGTAGATGTGTTGTCAGTTATTTCACAATTACAGATTGATCTTCATTTCTTGTGAAGTTAATCGGTTAGTGTGTTTCTGGTCGAATATCCACGGATCCCTTTCCAGAATTCACTGTTTCTTCTTAAACTATCCTTCTTTTGATTGATTCGCAATAAGTCATTACTACTATTGTCGTTGTCATTATTATTACTATTACTAGTATTGCTGTTATGGATTTCTTTCGTTTGTTTTGTATAGATTACACTATTCGTCTGTGGAATGTTGCCACTAATGTGTTAATTTGTGTCTTTGGAGGATCAGAAGGCCATCGGGCTGAAGTGCTGCATGGTGATGTATCCCTATCCGGTAACCTCCTGTTGTCTGCAGGGATGGATCATTATATAAAGATATGGCGACTTAACACTCCTGAGCTGGCGAATAGCATCAGCGAATCTTTTGACTATCGTCTTCATACAAATACAAGGTTAGTTAGTGATGTACTTACCCTAGTTTGGAGTGTTTCTATGATAACTTTCTCTGAAGTAGTTGGTTCGAAAAAGTTGGATGTGTTCTGTCATTTTGAAACGACGTCTTTTACACTATGCGGTAGTTATAGCCATCGAAATATACTTATTGTGCATGAAAGACTTTTCTGTGAGATACAATTTCGGTTGCACATACGCACCCTCGAACCTTTGACAGTATACTTGTTAGCTTGGTTCGGACGAGCATCTGGAGTTTTAGTTTTCCCTAGTAAGGTAGTCATTCTTAACATGATAAATCAGTATCGCATAAACAAGCAGTGGAGAGAGTGAGAAGTCTGTTAGCGCAAACTAAGCACATAGAGTAAAGGAAGGAAGACGTTTCCAGTGAACTGCATGGCTTTTAAAATATTTCCCCAAGTGATATGAATCAGGCCTGAGATAAACTAAGGTAAGCTACTTGTTTAATCTTTTTATTCGTAGAGCTATTCAGTGAGGATCGATTCATTTGGTCTCCTGATTACATTTGTTAACTGTGTACAATCATCATTTTCCTACGAGGTGTATACAAGTATACAGACTGGAATAAATAGTCGATAATCGCTTTAAGACTAGCTAGTGATTGTTCTAGGTGTTGTGTCCAAATAAGTAGGATCACTGCGATGGTGAACGTCGACTAATCTTGTTGATCCCGTATACCTTATTATTCTGAAGATGTCATTGCACAATGAAAGTGGTATCCTGCATAGTTGTGCATAAAATGATATGACACATTGTTGAAGTCTACGCTTACTAAACTGTGAAGTTATTTTATCCTATGGGAAGGAATTACATGTGAGACAAATAACGTGAGACGCATTTGTTAAATGTCAGACAGTATTATCGCTCAGGATGTTCTATGAGTATATTTTGTGATTCCACAAACATAGATAAGTGAATGTTATTGACACATACATTATTTGGGCTATATTCCCCAGTGGAATTGTTGCTTGATAACGACATGAAGTTTGCAGATCGCCTTCCTCGATCTATTGTAACCAGCACTTCGAGTTTCATTAACTATATTGTGTTTTGAAGTGTTGGATTTGTAGGGATTTTGTTTGATTGCATGGAGGATTTCATCATGAGCTGACATCAGTTAGAGAACCACTGGAGAACCTGGGAGTACTGGAGAGCTGTTACGTCTTAGTTTGGGACTCTTAATTGTACGCATTGTGTTTTAGTGAATATGGAATTGTCGCTGTTGTAGGTCTGATGATGACTGTGATGATGGTTGGCTGAAGCATTGTAGACAGATATTTTAAATCTTGTTGAGTTGTTAGAAATACTTCAGCAATGTGATGAAGTATATTTACTGTTTCTTTCCGATTGACAACAGTTTGTGCTTGACTACTGTGCAATTTGGTAACTTGATATTTTGTAATTGTTCCTTCATAGGCCGTTCCCTGTACTGGTACAACAATTCCCGGAATTTAGTTCCCGTGATGTGCACGGTGATTACGTGGATTGTGCGCGTTGGTTTGGTAGCTTGGTTATCTCTAAGTCGTGTGAGAATTGTGTTATGCTTTGGAAACCCGGTGAACTAGATGATTCATCATACTGTACTGATTCATCGCCTGTCGTATATAGTGAGAGTGGGTCACATTTAGCCGATGGTGGGATTCAGGTGACAGATGGGTTGCGGCTTCCGGCTCGGCTGTCTGGAATTGTCCCTCATTCAGAATCAGAAGAGGAATCCCATGCACCTGGCGTTCTGACAGAGCCCAAAGCGAGCGTCATCCACCGTTTGAAAGCAGAGAATTGTAATCTATGGTTTGTTCGTTTTGATTTGGATCTGAAAAATCAGATACTTGCTTTGGGCACAAGTAGTGGTCCGTCACGCGTGTATTTGTGGGATCTAAAGCATCCTGAGAAAGCATTCAATCTGCCACCTCAAGTGCTTCATCTCCCTCCAATTAGCAGAGTTGGTCGAGGTGGTTCATCATCGAACCACGTGGCGATCAGACAAATACGTTTTGCTAATGACGGTGAAATTCTCTTATGTGTAGGTGATAATGGTGTCATTGTAAGGTTTGATAGAATGTAACTTTTGTATATATTTATTGTCATCAGTGTTTAGTTTGAAATGTATCAATAAATCATATTTTTTTTAAGGAATGGCTTCTTATCCTTAATATATTATGTGATGAATGCGTTGTTTGCACACTTGTTTAATTGTCGGAATGATGAATAAATGCTGTGGTGTGAGTCTGTCAGATCGTCATGTCATAGTGGGAGTAGAGTTATTAAAGCATAGGATTCCACACTTATTAGCACTGAATAGCAGCAGTTACGACTAGACATAATTCTAATTACATAGCCCATTCTCTTGAATGTGTGTGAATCCTTCTTTCAGGGTGGAATTAGGAGAGACATGAGCAATCTTTAAGTCGTGATCAAAGGGATACGGTGTGCAACACTGTAGGTATTGTTAATGTAAATTGGGATAAGCTATGACCCCAGCTCACTGCCCTGAATCACTTCATATCATATGGATCTAGGCGACATGTAAGTATTGAGGAGTTCACTAATTGGAGTGGTCCTCCAAGAAGGGTTGAGGCAGGGTAACCGAGGGCCTTAGTAGTCGAACGACTTCAGCTTGAGGAGTAGTCTTTTGTGAGGGACTTCATGGAGGGTGTGTTGTTCTGGTTCAGGGAGTTTGTTGTAGCTGATTGATGCAGTAATATCCAGCGCTACGACCTCTTACATATCATTCGGAATTATTGACGTGATGTCGATGGTTTTCAACATTAGGAAGCTATGGAGTATCGTTTTCGGGGGTTATAAATGGGGACTTTTAGAGCACTGGGTAACCACAACTGGTTAAGCGTATGTCGAAAGGCTTCAGGAGAATAATGGATATGTGTGTCTCCACTACCACTTTCAGCAGGAGAGACTGAGTTCCATGAGGGTCAACATTGTACGAGGTCCGAGTAGGTTGTGCTATATTGGGTGAAATATTTCGTGGTGTGAATGCAGTGTAACTGAGAAAGTGATCTGGTGTGGCTATATCTTGAACGACATTTATTTTGACTTCACAAGTAAAATGAAATAGCCGGCATAGCTGTAGCTGAATAACTCACATGTGGCTCCCATTGTGGGCTGCGTAAGTAATTTTACTGGAAATATTACCAAAAACAAGAACTTATCATTGTGTGTAAACTATTGAAATATAATTGTAATTTATTTGGTCTATTTCTACTGACATTAATGCGTAAGTGTAGATTCAGGTTATCCCACTTAGCGTATATATATATGTGCATACTTATGGTCTCTGAGTGAAGTTGATTTAGTATTTATTGGTGAATTCATGCTGGTGTGTGTGTGTGTGTGATATACCAAAGACTACCTTGTCATCGGCAACAGGACACCGTTTACCTACTGGATTTGTTACGAGAATGACCAATATTAAGATCTGTTGTTCAGCATGAGTCAGTCCCGTACCACCGTTTGTGATGATTGACTGTGATGTACGCATGGTAACTATTGTAGTAATCGGATTGGGTTGCTTCGTCCCTATCTAAATCATACAACGTGCAATGCTTTCGCATGTTACTTGATATCGGGACAAATGCCACAAATAGTTTTCCAGTCAAATTAACACATAAGGACGTTGTTAACGACACTATCTGTACAAATTCATCGATGAATAGTATAGAGCTGGTGTGGGAGTGTAGGAAATAAAAAGTCATTATTATTACCATTATTGATTTGTAGTATGCAGAAAAGTAGGAGTTGTGAATACTCAAGGAAGATGAAGTTGTCAACTGTAAATAATGGATACCATGGCCAAGTGACCTTGGACCAACTAACTAATGAGATCGGTCGACACTTGAAATGGGTGCAGGGGCGAGGGTAAGACTTTAAACGGAGATCGTGGACAGCATCCGTTTGTAAAGTCGAGCGACCTGATTGGCTGGTCTAAGGTCAATATTTTGGCTGCGTCATCTATTGTTCACGGCTGACATGATGTCACAGAATCCTGACCAATGTGAAGTAACTAGTGGAAGAATGTTTGGTGAAAGTGTATAGGAAAGTAACTGGCAGGCGGAGCGTAATATTCTAATTTCATTGTGGTGTGCGATAGACATTGTCAAATATCGCGTCTGCCTATACGATGAGAGTGATACTGCAGAAGGAATTTTGAAATTGAAGGTTTTAGATAAATATAAGAAAACGAGGTGAAGGTGGACAATTTAAGCGAGAGCAGTAGAGCATGGAAGGGGAGTAGCTGTGGTTTGATTTCCGGTGAATAATTACACTAAGTCCACCGCCCTAACTGTAGACTGGAGAGTTTTGTTTTGCCATTCTAACAAGAGTTGCGACCAGTCAAAGATGACAGGTTAGTCTGTCCGCTCAGACTGTGAACCTGTCGAGTTCTTCACATGACTTGATTTCAGTAGGTTGTTGGTTGCAAAGACTACTACAAATAATGGTGGAGCACTTGGCCTTAATTGGGTGATTTTCGTAGATCATTTGGTTTAATTTTAGCCCACACGATGGATGAATCGAAGAAACAGCTTGCACCCTACTCTTCTTGACCATAGGGGTACTAAACTAATAATAGTGAAACATGTGTGTGAGCAGATTCCGTTTGTTGGTCAGACAACTGGCATATGTGCCTCATGAAATTTCATTTAGAAACTAGTATTTAACGGTCGGTCAGCTGGCTCAAGTTCACTGTGTGTGAGGATGGAGTTTTCGAGGTTGGGGCGAATACATCTGTCATGTATGACCAAGCTATCTTGCTTCTGAATTGTGGAAGTTGTACGGGACGAGACCGATAAGTCCTTGTCAGTCTGATTGATACCACCTTATTCGCATGATCTGAAAAGGATAGGTATGTGTTATACCAAGATCTGTGATTGTTCCCAGCTTTCGGAGGAGGCATTAGTCACTGACACTCGTATCGAAATATTCGTCCGAATAACTGACCGAAAGCGCTAGAAAATAAGGTGACATTCAAGCACCGTTGGAATTAAAAGGCAATTGTGTCCTGATTGAAAGAAGTTAGGATTCTTGGACCACTGAGTCGGGTATCAGTGTCTGAATGGTCTACAAGCCTGTCTTGTAACTGGTAGGTCCTAGATTCGAACTCCGTTGGGTGCGCACTGCCGGTGATACAAAACCAGGCGAAACAGCTGCCTAGTACACCCTGGATTTCAATGATTGTCGAAGTGTGCTATCAATCCGTGGTCAGACTTGACTCAGCTTAGAAACTTTTCTCTGTCGACGAGATCATTTTCAGGGACTGTACAGTCATACTTATATTAACCAAAAACGTATATTAGTAGTCTATTATGGAGTAGTCGGGGTTCGGGTGTATGACAACAATGATATTGTAACAGCAGAAGGCAAGACACGGAAGTCAAGTTTTATTTTCAAGTGATCAAACAGCTATTTATATCTATGCAGTTTATATTCTTTCAACAATCACTGAGCGTGTGATTTTGGTTTACATGAAATAGAATGTTCATATATATATATATATAGCCTTCTGTTGCTAATGCCGTATGTAACTGCGGGAATAATATTCAGACGGTAACACCAACAAATACAATGTTCTTTACTGTGAGAATAATATTCCATTGTCTGTATCAAGCCACCACCACCACAATACAATTCCTCAGAAGTAGCTCCCAGACAAAAATTGAAAATTACGTAATGGTCAATGGGACGATGCAAGAAGAAAGTGTCTGAAATGTGATGAGGTTAAAAATTGTTATTGAATGTGAGGAAAGCTGGTTGAGTGTCCACTTGAAAAGTGTGAACAGGGTGAGAAAATGTACAGAAGGAAGATGTAAGAGTGATAATAGTGAATTTCTTATTGAAAGTGAAAGCGAACTAATTATTAAGAAATGGAAAATCAAACTGAACGACTTGGGAAGAGAATAAGACGATGGAACACTGCACAAAGCTTTCTGTACACAGAGTTTGGGGTTGTGTTGACGAGTCGTTGGCACTGTCGCCTCCATACACAAATGCTGAGCGAGACCGAACACCCCTTGTAACACTCGTTCTCAACTTGTAGAGAGTGTTAAAAGACAATTCAGTTGAAGCTGCATGGCCTGAGTTCACCAAGTGCTCGAGAATTCAGCTAGTAATGATCTTACAACGTCATTTTGTTGATTATACTGGATAGTGTTCATAGATGCGTTTGTAAAGTGTTTGCTTTGCATGACCAGTATAACTAGCTCAACAGGGTCAAGTGAATTTACAAACACATATTGAAGTGACCCAAAGTGGCAGTTCGTCCCTTACACATCCATCGATCATTTGTTGACTGTAGAAATTGATCTGTAGCCCAGTCGAAAAGAAAGCTTTCCTAAGTGATCTTGGTAGGCAGTTAGTTGTTCAGAATCTCAGCCGCAGTATCACCTATAAATTCGTCATTGATGAAGACAGATTTCTTCGACACCGTTTGGATTCTTTCGGATTTTCGCTTTACGTTCATATTTTTCTGGATGAACGTTGAAGGATATCCACTTGCAATGAGGACTTGTCCGAGTTTCTGCAGTTCACCATCGATTGTATCATTGGTGCATATCCTTCTTATTCGTGAGGAAAATGAGTGGGTGAGGCTTCTATTTCTTCTTAGAAGGAAGGACCCAGCTATGGGAAATACATAAAATCATCTGTGGAAACGTTAAGATATGTGTTAAACTTGTGCACTGTGGTAGTAAGTGGTTCCATATTGGTTTGTTTATTAGATGTATCACACAGTGAAACAGTATTAATTACTGGATGACGTTTCGAACAAAATTTATTGTTCATAATCATATCAATTATCATTACACGACTTCGAAACTTGAGTTTTGTAGTTTTCTTTGTTCTCCCCTATTTGTCGTCGTTGGGGTAGTAGAATTTTCCAGATATCTGGGACAGTTGTTGAATCATTCCTATTACATGTATTTGCAGTTGATTCGATAAACACAGCTTCTGTTATCAATCTCTCCCTCCACCCTGTTACATTAGATTTTAAAACTGCCATCCTACTGTATGGTTGTGTATAATTGCATGTGGTGTAATGCTATAGCTGAACTATTCTCCAGATTTCTTATCTCATTCGGGTCAACCAATCTAGATTTTGCTAGGTTTTTATGCTCAGCTAGTCTGAC